CAAACTTGAGAAATTGGCTTTCTCACAAAATATATGCAGATATGCAAATACATGCATACATATTGCCATAGTATAATGCTCTGTGAAGTACTGAATAGACACAATATTTATTCTACTGATTTATAATGTACATTATTTTTATTTCCAAACTGGACATTGAATGGCCCAATTCATGGATTAAATGCATTCCAGTGACATACAAATAACTAATCTATGGAAGGCATAGTTAAGCAAATCTAGGTAAAATGAGATTAGTTCATGATGAGTCAGGTACATTGAAATGACCCATCTCACTTCAGTCTCCTTCTTAGCTGATTGGTTGAGTAGGAATTTTCATTTGTTCTAACTACTCCAGCGATCCTCTCTGCTGCCCCTGGTCTCCCTACCTTTCACAGTCCAAATTTCCCTCCAGACTACTCCAGCTCATACAGTTAGCATACTTCACAAAGCTTTATGAAACATCAAGTTTTTGTCCCAGAAATAGAAGTCTAGTTACATTCATTGTGAATGATTCCCTTCAGCTGGGTGGAATTGAAACTTTTCCATTTTCATCTGTTCAAATAACTACCAGGTCACACAAAGGCTACAAAGAAATCAATGGAAATACTTGCTGCTCAGCACTTCAGTGGCTCTAGACACTACAGTCAGAAAGTGAGTATGGTGTATTTTCCTGATATAAGCTACCTATTTTTAAATTTTTCCTATGCCTTCCATATTTAAGAAGCTTTGATTTGAAAAAAACATATGCAATTTGCATGTATATATTAAAAGTCTACTCCAAATATTTTCATTGAATATTTTACCTTTACCAAAGTGTGTAAGTTTCAGATACAGATAAAAAGGCCTATTGTCTATGACCTCTGGCCTCTAGGTTTGCTATTACATTTGATAAAAATTACAGCAGTTGAATCTGTAGCCGTCAGCAGATTTGATTGGCCTTCCTGATAAAGTAAGCCTTTTGTCAGTTTGAATTATACTTTAAAGGTTATCAGGACAACCAACTAGAATTTATAAAAATTATTAATGTCCTGAGTGTTCTTACAAAGCAAGAGAAAGACACACTTTCTAAATTCCTTGGTGCTTTTACTTTAACACAGGCTCCTTAAGTTCTACTTAAAATATAAAGCATTAACTGATATTTGAAGGTACCTAGTTAAATGCTTACTGGCTTAGAGATGGTGAGCATGAAATAAAAAGTCAGCCAAAAGCAGCAACAGTAACTACCAACTACAAAGAGGAATTCAAGTGATTTCTCCTTATAGCCCTACACCAACATTTTTCTAACTGTGCCTGTCCACAGAGTATGAATTCAGCTTCATTCCTTTGTTGAATGAAGTGAGTCAGGGTTTTGGTAACAACAGCCTCTAAAGAGGCAAAAGGTTCCAAGTTCACATAATGCCATGTCTTTGCTTTGCCTATGCCAGCACTGGAAAGATCTAAAGCTAGGTACGGGTGTGATACATTTTGGTCCTAAAATCCTGGTGAAAATTACATGCACTTTACAGCAAAAACTATATACTTATCTCATCAATAGATTATAAAATTACTGTTCTTTATATATTTGAACGTCTTAAAGCTCCCAAAGAGCCTAGTTTATAAGAAAGACAATACACTATGGGACATTTTCTATTAATAGAAATAAAATGATTCTTTATATAATATAGACAAGGGCCGATAATAGGGATCTTTTTTCAAATTCATACTTTGATATATGCTTTGGTAGTCTATTGCCGCATAAATCCTATCCCTAAACTTGGTGACTTAAAACAAAAACAAATAAAATAGGAGAAAATGTTTGCAAATTATACATTCAATAAGGGGATGATAGCCAAACCATGTATGGAACTCAAACAACTCTATAGCAGGCAAGGAAAAAAATCTGATTTAAAATGAGCAAAGAACCTGAATAGACATTTCTCAAAAGAAAACATGCAAATAGCCAAATATACATGAAAGGGTGCTCCCTAATTATCAGAGAAATGAAAATCAAAACTGTAATGAGATAGCGCTTGCCATATATTAGAATGGCTATTATCAAAGAGACAAAAGGTAAGAATTGTTGGTGAGGATGTGGAGAAAAGGAACCCTTGTACAGTACTAGTGGGAATGTAAATTGGTACTGACATTATAGAAAACTCTGCACATTTTTCAAAGTATTAAAAATAGAACTACCATATGACCCAGCAATACCACTGCTGGATATTTCTCCAAAGAAAATCAAAGTAGTATTTGGCAGAGTTATTTGCACTCCCATGTTTATTGCAGCATTACTCACAGTAGCCAAGATATGGAAACAACCTAAGTGTCCATTGATGGGCAAAATAAGTTATGTGTAAAAAGTATTATTAAACCACAAGAAAAAAGGAAATACTGTCATTTTAGGCAATATGGATGAACCTAGGGGCCATTACATTGAGTGAAATAAACCAAACACAGCAAGATTTATACTGTATAATCTCACTTATATGAGGAATCTAAAAAAAGTTAAATTCATCGGACTAGAAAGTCAGTTTTACCTCAATAAGCTGGAAAAAATAAAACAAAAACAATTATTTTTTCATTAATTTGTACTTTGGGCAGGATTAGGTGTGGGCAGTCTGTTCCTGTTCTGTGGGGTATTGGCAGGGTGGACCAAAGGAGGCTGCTAGATCCACTTCTAAGACAGCTTATTCGTAGGACACATAGTTGATGGCTGCCGGTGGATAGCCCAGCTGGGGCTGTTGGCTAGTGGCTTTGATTCGGTTTCACACGGACAAGTCTCTGCAGCTGTTGGGGCTTCCTCACAGCATGGGGGATTCCTCAGTGCATGGGGGGAGAGAGAAAGCAGAAACCACTAAATGCCAAGAATTCCCACCAGTTGTGACAACCCAGAAAGTCTTCATACAGTGCCAAATGTTCTCTGCAGTAAAATTATGCCCAGTTGAGAGCCACCTGGTTTTAATAAATTTATAAACTGAAAAAATATTTTTCCTTGTGGCAACTTTTCTTGTCTCAGTAGTGTTCCTCTGTCTGCACTTTCATAATTTAAGGTTACTTCATGAGCTACATTTGTCTTCCATTTAAATTAAAAATAGACTACTTTAATTTAAAATTTGAATTTATATTTCAAGACATAGAAATGAATGTTTGCTTATTTTAACGCATTTGACACCAGTGTTGTTTGTGGATACCCCCCCAAAGTGATTTTTTAATTAAAAATTTTAAGAAACAAATTCATAAAAAGAAAGTAAAAGCAAGACTTCATAGCCCGTAATCCTGGAAAGAACCTTCACTATAATCTATCATACACTCATATGATGATACAGCTAGAAGGGCTTTAGACAGTATATTGCCCAAACTTCCTTTTTTGCATTATTTTAAAGCTTTTATTATTTTTTCCTCACCATTTATCCCTCCATACCCTCTTCTACCTTGGCCCAAGTCCAACAGAGATCATTTGACTTGGTGATATCTTCAGACTTAATCACAGACTAAATCAAAATTAGAAGCCAAAATCTCCTAATTTTCAGCCCAGTTCTCTTTTCACTATCCCATGGACCTTTTGAAGGGTGCTCTCTCTTATTATCCTCCCAGTGCAGTATTTTCACATAAACATATACCACAGTAATCCTAGACAGGCCCTATAGCACCATGGGTATAAGACTGAAAAGCTACAGGGAGGGAAGAAGTAGCCAAGAATGCTTACCTGAAGGAAATTCTATGTCTGCAGAGTCTGCTATGATGACGTTTAACTGTATGAATAAACACTTGTATAAATAGATGTATATTTTCTATTTCTAGTGTTTGGATAAGACTATACCTACTTAGGAAACGATCTCTTCCTCTACTCTCTCACTCCCAATAGCCCCAAGACATTATTTGACATTGACACTGCCCTCTTGGGAATATGATTTACCTACTTATTTAAGAAACAGTCAAATCTAATTCCAAAGTTATTCTCTAGGGTGACATCCACACAGAGACTTGAATATATTTTGATGGTTTTCCCAGAGAAACTAGGCCTGAGGAGCAAGATTGAAGGAGGGACTAGCAGCAGCCCATGTTGCAGTGATGGGGAGAAGAGCCAGAGAAAAGTCTTCCTTGGAGAAGGAGCACATCAGAGCCAGCAATTCTTTCTCTAAGGTTCTACCCTCTCTACCTTCTAGATTTCTCTCAAACCCTTTTGCTTTTCCTGATGCCAGAAATTTTTCTGCTTTGAGTTCAGCCATTTCATTTTGTATTTAGCCTTTAAAAATTATAACGCTTTTAAACACTTATTTCTTCAGAAGGCGTTTACAGACCCTAGCAAGTGACATAAGATGGGCACTTCTGAAGGACAGTGAACCATATTCATGGGGAAATCCAGGCATGAGAAGTTAAAGGGTGTGTCTGAAGACTCACACCACCTAACGAATAATACTGACAATTCAGTGCTTTTTCTTGAACTCTGCCCTTTCAATATTTCTTAATGCACAAGCTTTAAAATTAACTACAGAGGAGTTAAATATTCAGTATCTTGTCTGCTGGAAAAGAAAAATCTCAGATGTAGGAGTTAAAATTAAATGTTATATGGGAGAAAGGAGTAGGTCTTCCCTATTACTTTTCAAGCTCTTTTCTCCAAAGAGAAATAATTTGAAAAATAATTTATTAAAAATAGAAGGATTAAATAAAACTGCCATCATTATTCTGAAATTTGATTCAAAAGTGTTAGTCAAGGCCAATGCCGTAAGCAGACAGAACAGTAATCATGAATTCTCAATATGACAGTTTGTGAGACATCTGTCAAGTGAACCACTTCAAATTCTTTTGGATGTAGGCAGGGGATATATGCATGGGTGGGTGGATGAACGCATACATGGGGGGATACACAGATGAACCACAGATACATGAAACTTAGGTTTCCTACTACATAATTAAGTATATAAATCCAGCTTTTGATTGGTTGAAACATTGTTCTGAGGCTATACATTCTCTTTTTTCTTCTCTCATCATTGTTCATATATTCTTTTCCCTACGCCCAGATGCGATTGGTATCTATTTCCCCTTGGGAAGGAATGGAGATTTTGAGTGTCTGAACTTCATCCAGTGGACACCCGAAAGAATCATGCTGACCTCTGTTCAGGAGCAGAGAAAGATCACAAAAGAAGGGGAAGGTATAGGCTTCTCTATTTTAATCATTCATAATTTTAGGAAGTCAAAGCAACTAAGTACTTAAACATATTTAATGATTGTAAGAAGACTAAAAAATAAAATCTATGTTATTGCTCTGGTCTTGTTTTCACATGGTATCCATTACTTATGCTCAATTTAACTGATAATAAATTTATTGATTTGAATCTCTCTCTCTATATATATATTTATTGATTTGAATTTCTTTCTTTCTCTCTCAACTCCCAGAGCATAGAAACTTCTTTTTTCCAGTAACTTTAAATAGTCAGGAATTAACATCCTCTCTGGAAAAGACTTGTATATGATTTATACCAACAGATTCCCAAACATTAGTTTTCTATGTGTGTATATTTTAATTTTCTCTATTGTTAAGACAAGAATAATTCCTTTTAGGTTATTTTGAATGATATGCTTTATTTTTAACAGTTTATATAAAAACAAAAAATCTATTATTGGTTGTCAGAATGTAAGAAAATTTGCTAGTCTTTTGAAAGGATGGGGAAAACATTTTTAAAGATAAATGCACATGTACACTTATCATAGCCTTGTATATGAAGAAAAAAAAGTGGAATCAACTCCAGTGCAGTTGATTAAATTATGGTGCATCTAATCAATGGGACACTGCAGCCATGAAAAGGCAAACTTCCAAGACTGTATTAATTGAGAAAATGCTCACCAAAAAAGGATATGTGCTAATCTCCTGGGGGAGGCATGTACAAAGATTAATCTGTGCCCTTGAGGTAAGGTGTTTTCATATGGGATGAGGCTACTCCAGGGCCATTGGCTATTCTGCTAGAGGGTAGAGTTTATAGTATGGGCAAAGAAAAATACAATAATTGTGGAGTTTACAGAGTCTTCCTTGAATTTCCTTACTTGTCTCTTGGAACTGTTGTCTCTCTTAAAAGTACATGAATGGGTTGTAGGATAAAGGGAACAGCAAGGACTGTTAGCCTAACCCTAAGCCACAGGCACTGCCATAGTCCCTTGTTGTCTATTGGATACAGCCACATTTCCTATATGTTGGGTCTACAAAGAGACTTAAAACTAAAACCTAATAGTACTAACAAGAGTTTTTGCTTTGAGGTTTTGTGAGTGTGTGGTCGCTGCTATTTCTCAATCTCATGCATGACCTAATTTTATATAAAACAATTCAGTCTACAAACTGAATGTATGAAATATATCAAAGATGTGATGGATATAATTCAAAACATTAGTAGTAGTTATCTGTGAATGGAGTAAACATGGGGAGCTGTTATAATTTTTCTTGAAGCTTTTCTGTATTTTCTATAATGGTATATCTATCAGAATAATCATATGTATGCAGACTTTTATACACAAATGTACTTGCACAAGGAATAAAAAATGAGAGTGTATTTCAAAATCTGTGGGTGTAAGTTTAGAGACAAGACCAAAAAGCATAGCTCAAACATCCAAGAAATAACACACTGTGATTGTTTCTGAATATTAGTTTAAATCAGTGCTCATTTGGTCATAATTTTATCCAAAGGGTCCACATCTCTTTGAATAAAGGGATGAAGCAGGGATCATTATCTGAAGTCTGTCCAACAGTAAACCCTTATTTAAAAAGGTTTTTTGGTTCCTGCTCAAGGATGAAATGAGCAGCTCGCTGAGCAAAGATAAAGATCTATTTGCTTGGCTCAGCTCTCTCAGGGGCAGTGATACAGGAACTAGAAGCCAAAAGGATAGAGCAGCCAACATTTCTCCCAGTTTTGCACCTTGGTGAAGCCAAATGAGTTCTGAAAACTCTGATTTGGAGGGTTTGAAACCACAGGAGGCACGGAACACACACAATGAGAACAGATTACGCTGGCCCACTGTGGGTGACAGATAATTGTCCCTGCAACTCCTTCTTCAGGCCCTGAAGGTTTTTGAGCCAGATTCTTAGCTTGTGTGGCTTTCTGTCTCCAAACTGCTGCCCGATAATTCTGACTTTCCTCTCTTCAGAAGGGTCTCCTCTGAACTACAGATATAATTCTGCACATAATTCTAACCCTCTTAGTCTCCAAATAAAAAGCTGAGAACTGAGAGAAAGAATAGGATGAGGAGAACTAAAACTTTTCATGTCTCACTCATGAAAAGTTCTGGTTTGTTCCCAGAAATGTGTATCTGCTAGTGCCAGATACAGTTCTGGGTGTTCTGCAATTATTTGTTTTGGTATTCAGAAATGCTGGCGATTCTCAGTCATCTCCAGATTGGTCATGTTTCCTAGGCATCTGGGGGATGCTGGAGAGCAGTGGGTGCTGCTCTACACAGTGAAACCCCAGTCCAGCCTCCCCAGGAACCTCTGTAGCATCACCAACCTGCACATGGTCTTGTTGTCTCAGTCAGTACTTAAGTCAATGTCAGACTATGTCACACTTTGTTTACCCAGGAGACCTTTAACTTTGTGCCTTTGGATAGGCACAGAGACCTGAATTCTGGAATTTGTGGCTGGAAAGCATATTGTGGTAGACAGAATTCTGAGGGGGTCCCTAAGATTTCTGCTCCCTGTTATATGTGGCTTGCATAATTCTCTCCCCTTGAGTGTGCACAAGACCTGTGAATGGAATGGAATGGAATGGAATGGAATCACTCCCATGATGAGGTTATGAATCAGTTGATTTTGAGTTAATCAAAAAGGAAATTATCTGAGTGGGACTGATCTACTCAAGTTAGCTTAAAAGGTCTTAGGCCCTTCCTGAAAGAGAGATTTGAAGCATGACAATGTGAGAGCGTTTAAAGGGAACCATGGGAAAAGGACCCAAGAGTAGTCTCTAAGAACTTAAAAGGACTCCTGGGCAACAACTAGCATGAAAACGGGGACTTCAATCCAAGAGCTGCAAGGAGCTAAATTCTGCCAACAGCCTGAAAGAGCCTGGAAGGTGACCCCAGGCAACTGATGAGACCCCAGAATCAGTTGACTCCTTTACTTCAGCCTGAGAAGACCTAGCTAACTCATACCCAGACTCCTGACCCCTGGAAGCTGTGATATAATAAATTTGTATTGTTTTAAACAGGGCAGCTGAACACTAATATACACTCAAAATTCATTTTGTTTATGATGCAAAAACCATCCTAACAACATCCACGAAAATGATCATGCTGCTTTCCTACTTACTTTCACTTTAGGGAACACTTTTGCTTTCAAAGCAGCTCATTCAGTTGTTGGAAAACTTTCATTATCAGGCATATTGTCTTTTTCATACTGAGTTGGAACCTATCCTGTCCTTTTTATTCATTGATCTTAGATCTATATTTTGGAATGACATAAAAAAATCCCTACTCCTCCTCTTATTTGCTAGTCTTCTAATTGTCTGAAGACATCCAAACTCCCATACTGCCCTCATTTGATACTTTTTCCAGATGTTTCAGCAACTTATGCACTTGAATTTGTCAAACACTTTAAAACATGGGACCCAGAACATTGTCCAAGCTGTGGTCTTATAAGTACAGATCTTGTGCTTCCATCACTTCCCCTATTTGAGTATGAAGCAACTAACAATCTGATAAAAATTTATTTTATTTCTTTTTAAAAAATTTCTCAATTACAGTTGACTTACAATATTATATTAGTCTCAGGTGTATGACATCATGATTAGACATTATATAACTTACAAAGTGATCACCCCAATAAATCTAGTACCCATCTGATACCATACAATAGTTATTACAATATTATTGGCTATATTCTCTATGCAGTTTTCAATAACTGGCAGTTTATTCATCTTTGATCCTAAAGGTGAAGGGATAAAGATCAAAATTTATTTTAAGTTTGGTTCCTTAGGAAATAGGCCTTAATACTTGCAAACAATTCAGTGGGAGTCTTTAGGGAAAAACACATGTGTAATACCAAGGAAAGCAGAGTTAGGCTGAGAAAATGTGGATGTAAGTGTAATATAGGTGTAGTGGAGACCACAACCTTCTTCACAGGGAGTTTAGGAACCCTGATGGACCTGCAGAATTGTCCTAACTTGAGGCAAGAGGACTGGGCCTTTATCAGCCTGGGCCTTCACATCAACCAGCATTTTGATCTAGCCTGCTCCTGGGGAGGAGGTAAATGCCATTCATTACCTTCAGCTCAGGCCAGTTTCCAGGAAGAGTCTCATCTACCAGCCCTTGGCTGACAACATCCCTGCAGCCAGGAAGGAGGATCCTGGGGGTTCTGGGTGGTACCCAGCAATAGTCATTACAGTCCACTTAGTGTGCTGCTCAGATCCACTTGTCTCATATTAACTGCCATCACATTATGGAACAGCATTTCCAAGATGCTGGTTAGTTTCATGTCCTGGGGAACTAAAAAGAGGAATTTGGCTGCCATGAACTACAACCTTCTGCCACTAAACTTTGTGTCAGGATGCAATTCGTAATAATTTCTTCCCCTACATTACTCAGTGTAGGTGCTCCTCACCAGCTTAGCTAGTTGGTGGATTATTTGATGAAATGACTCAAACCTTCATCACTGAAAGTGTGGAGCCTCTAGTCACCATGCCTTTTTCAGGCTTTGCTTGCTGCAGTTGTCCATGTACTGATCAGACTCAATAGGGACGTAAACACACATGCTCCAGAGAATCACCTGGATGCCCAAGTGTTCTTCTCTCCCCTCACAGTGAAACAACTGACCAACCTCCTTCTAATGGTTAGGGTCCCAGACAGCATGTTAACTCTTCCTTGCTTATTTGTACCTTGGCATGAGAAACTGATGGCATCAGGTGACAGACATAGCTTAAAGTTTAACATGACTTTTTCTGAGTGTCCTGGTAAAAGTACTTTTGCTTGGGAACTAAGGCCTAAAACAGCTTAGAATTTGGGGGAGAAAAATAACAAAATTATCCAACTGGACCACTTGGAATAATGCTAAGCAGGACTATTATTTTCATCTCTTGTTTCCTGGATGTATGGATTTCACTACTGGAAACATACTACTTCATAATGGTAGTTAGTTCAGGGCATATATTCTGTTCTGGAGAGTAGGTAGAACAAAATA